CCGACCTGATGTGACACACCTTGATGCTCTTTATTTGGTACTGTTATGGTATTTTTATGGAGATGTTTGTATTTTTTTTTATTTTTTTATTTTTTTTGGAGCTTGACAGCCCCTGGTAACCATTCACCTTAACTGTGTGGGGAAAAGCATGAACATTTGTGTTCAAAAAGAAAACTATTCTGGAATGATATAAGGGTGAGTAATTTATAACATGATTTTCTTTTTTGGGTGAATTATTTTTTTGAACGAGTGTCTTTGGTTTTAAAGTCATGGTGCAGGCATGCAGCAAGCCTTGCAGTTTAATTTATCAGCAAAGTGTGTCTGTCTTCACTCTCAATTTAAAATGTATAACGTCACTTTAAATGCAGGCCTCTGTGTTTGAAACTAAAATATGTGCCTCTGCCTGTGCTCTGTTTTGACAATAAGGCACCAAACCCGTATTTAACCTCTCCATAATATAAAGGTTGACACGACAGTGTTGTCAGTTTCCTGGAACGAGTGGCTTTTTGCTAACATTTTAAGGGCTACATAATATATTTGGCTATGGCTTATGTTTGGTGCAGAAAGTTGTAATGGTCACTGAGTCTCTGTCATTAATTTGACAAAATATTTTGCTTGGGTCAGCACCAGGGTTTGGCTGTACTCAGAATTTGACCTTACAATCACAGTTTCCAGGGTGTGTTGTTTTTGGTTTGTGTTTGAAAATGCTTTACTGTTGAAGAATTCCCTCGGATTGACCAGGGAATTTTATGAGTGTTATCAATGGGCCGAACCTCCATGTGTGTATGTGCTGTTAGCACGCCCCTCTTGATATTCCAAAAACACTATGCCCTTTCTGAATGCACATCCTAAGACCGCTTAAGTCACACTCCCTCTAAAGCAAATCAATGCTTCAAGCATTCCCCATGAGTGAGTGAGCAGCATATCTCAGTGCCATGAGTCAGGTCTCTGTATGTCCTGTTAAAGCCTGCATTGCTGCTGGGTCAGCAATGTTGTTTAGGGTCCAGGGTATATGGGGTAGACCATATCTCAAGTTTCTGAACTTGTTTTTTCAGCTGATGTTGCCTAGATGACTGCTCTATATAGTAGGGTTGTCACGATACTGGAATTTCCAGATACCATTTTCAATACCTCGGGGAAAATGGCCATACATACCTCCATACATATATAATTTGTTAATATCTTAAATTTTTTTTGATAATTTAGGTAATTGTGTTTTAATAGCTTATGCACAGCACAGGAAGGCTTTATTTTAATCATTGTACTACATTTTCAAATAATCAAGTCAAGTCAAATTTATTTATATAGCGCTTTTTACAATACAGATTGTTTCAAAGCAGCTTTACAGAGATAACAGGAAAATAATGCAACAAAGTTTGTTTCCAGGAGAAAATAGCTTCTCAGTCCAGCTTAAGTAAGTTCTGTGATGTTTAATTTTTGTTGTAAAAAAGTTATTAATTTAGTTCTTTTATATATATATATATATATACCCTCTCTGGAGAAAACCGTGATGTCATCATCCAGCTCAGTTCAGTTCTCATATAATGGTGCCAATGCAGGCAGATTAATAATATTGTTGAATATTAAATTAAATGTTAAATTTAATGTCCCCAACTAAGCAAGCCAATTACAACAAAGGTGAAAAAAGGTGACAGTGGCAAGGAACCAAAACTCCATCAGGTGGCAGAATCGAGAAAAAAACCTTGGGAGAAGAAACCAGGCTCAGTCTTCTCCTCTGGCCAACGTGTATGATTATGATTGAGGCAGAATTTTAGGTCAGAAGTCAGATTGGATTGGAACAATCAGAATATTATCCAGTTCCATCTGGTTGAAGATCGGAGTCATCACGCCGGTATGGAGACGTAAACTAAATAAAGAAAAGTAAACATTCAGTAATAAAATAAGAACAAATAAACACATTGCAAATGATAACACAAATAACCACACTGCTTGTGGTCTCGGCCAACCCATCACTTCATCATAACTTCTCCATTCAGCTATGTTCGTCATCCGTAACTCCATCAAGGTCAGTCAGGAACCTTGGAGTTGTGATTGATGATCAATTGAACTTCACAGACCACATTGCTAGAACTGCCCGGTCCTGTAGATTTGCCTTATACAACATTAGGAGGATCAGGCCCTTCCTATCAAAGCATGCTACACAACTCCTTGACCAAGCGCTTGTTCTATCCAGACTGAACTATTTAGGCAGGTCTTCCAGCTTGCACTGTTAAACCTCTGCAACTGATCCAGAATGCTGCGGCTAGAGTGGTCTCTAACAAACTGAAGAGAGTCACACCTCTCCTCACAAAATTGCACTGGTTGCCAATTGCCGCTCGCATCAAATGCAAGGCAGGCACTGATGTTTGCTTACAGAACAACCACTGGCTCTGTACCCCTATATCTTATCTCCTTATTTCAGACCTACGTGCCATCTAGAAACTTGAGTTCTGCAAGTGAACTGCGCCTTGTGGTGTCATGCATTTTTGGTGTGAGCGTGAAACCTGCGGGAATGACTAAAATTATGTGCAATATTCAGGACATGTAACACCAACATCAACCGGAGTTAATGAGAGGATTGAGTGAGAGGAGGCAGGTGCTTGTCTTGTTTTAAATTGTAATAGTTTTTATCAAATAAATGCAGCCGTGGTGAGCATACGAGACTTTTTTCAACAAAAAAAATGTATGTATATGTGTGTATATGTATAATTTTACTTTTATATGTCATTTAACTTTTATATTCCAGATGATTTGCCTAGAGTTCTGTTTAGCCACAGTCTGATCTACTTACATTCTTCATGGCACTTTTAGTTTTGAATTTCACTTCTGATTGCATGTTGTAACATGTGGCAATTTCCGCATCCACATCTTCATATGTTTACAGAGTGATGCTTACCTTGCACACATATGGAAGAAAGGAAAGAAAACTGTTTCCTGGCGACTCTATTTTGAGTCTGGCTGAAAGAACAGAAGCTCATCAAACAATGCATTGATTTAGTCCAGTGCCCAGCTGCCCACGGGCTGCCATTTGCCCTTCCTAATACCCACTAGAATTAGGCGATCAACCTCCTCTGCACACAGTGGTGCTGTGGAGTTAATAGAGGCATTGTTAGACAGATGTTGTCTTTACAGATGGGTGGATGGATGCTGTGTAAGAGGTTGCTGTCATGGATCTATCTAGACATTAATACACTTCTCGGCAATAAACAGAAAAAATCATACAACCTCACACTAATTATTTTTTTTCCCCTAGAGCAGAGGCCACCAATTATCAGACTGCAGTCCAGATTCAGTCCCAGAAAAAATCCTTTGCATTGAGCCTATCTATAGATTGCTAATGATTGACAGACCTTATAATTATATAATTATTAATCAAAGCATTTTCTTCACAACACAGTAGTTATCTTCACTATGAAAATACCGTGATATGTTTACATGAACTTTAAACACAGTTGATATTAAAGCATCTCACTGACGCACTCCGAATGTCACATAGTGTACAGACATCTGCTTACAGTCAAAAATGTAGAGACTGGGTCTTATGGAACTTTAATTGAACACCCCTGCCCTGCCCTGCCCTGCCCTGCCCTGCCCTGCCCTAGAGCATAGTGTTTATCATTCACATTTATCTCTTGACATTCTCAGTCTGTTCTGTCCTGGGGCATGTAGTCAGCAAGTCCACTCTGCCAGACTCGCATGATTGAGCATTGTTGTAGAGTAATCCACATTCACTCCAACCCGCACAGATGAGTTGACCGGGCGTTTTTAGTTCGGACTGGGCAAGAGGGTGGAGTAAGCAGTTTAATGGGTAGCTGTGTGGCCATAAATGAAATATGGGTCATTCATGAATGATTGAATGGAATCAATTAGAATGACTCTTTCTACAAGGCTAAAAGACTGTAAATCTGAGACAAATATGGCAAGCAAATTTAGAAACCGCCATAGTTAGCAGAATAAGATGTGATGGGTCTACTGCACTGCCAGCTCATTTCACACGGACGGGCCCAGCTGTCAGTGTTGACGACACTACATTGCTGGATACTGCTCATAGTGTTCGTCCTAAAATACCCCAGCACTCTGTCCCACGGACCCCAGTGAGAGTTCACTTATATCGGGATCATCCTTTGGGAATCCTCAGAATGAAATTTGCTCCCTCTGATTTACAAATCCTCTCCCAGAATCATGTTCCAGACGAAGTCCCATCCATTTTTTCATTGGGTTGTCCACATGTTTTCCTGAGGGAAGGGGAATTCTTGGTATCTATTAGCAACACCTGCTACTTCAGGATGCTCTTGGCAACATAAGAGTCCAGCAGGATGTTTACAGAGCATAACTTTCATTATGACCAGCTCATATCTGTAAATAGGTGGTATTGTTAAACTATTCTTTGGGAATACTTCACCTGAACAGAAGACAATGTAATCCAAATATTCCCAGTGCGAAACAATAAAACGATTGTGTGTGTTTTAAATGTTTAAGGTCATGTCATGGATTGGTTTACATACTTTACCATTCCAAAGTTTGGGGTCTGTATGATGTTTTAGTGTTTTTGAAAGAAGTCTCTTATGGGACATTTTTCAGGACATTTTGATGAATACAATGTTCAAAAGAACTAGAAATATCTTTGTGACATCATTTAATGTCACTTTTGATTTAAAAAAAAAAAAATTACAATAATGTTTAAATTAGTTAACTATTTTTCATAAACTAAGAATTAACAATACTTCTACAGCATTTATTAATCTTAGTTAATGTTAGTTTCAACATTTATTTTAAAATCAAAAGTTAATAAATGTAAATTAATACATTAACTACTGTTAACAAATGAGACCTTATAAAGTATTACCAAAATATTACTGACCCCAGACTTTCAATGGTAGCGTAGGTGAATGTGTGGCACACCTTCCCAAATGAAAATGATGGGAAAACTCTCTGCCACTAGAGCATCTAAAAATAAAGCAATTCCTGATTTCCCTCTGTCTTCACTCTTTGCCTTACAGAGCTTTCATTGGCCCAGAAGAAGTTTGCTCAGTGCCTGGGCGAGTTCAAATTTGAATACATCGGCGATGCCAAAACTGATGATGAGAAGTGCATTGGTGAGGGTTTTTTCTCCCCTTTTTGCATATATTAATTTACATACATGCATTTGCTTATATCGTGCTTTGCTCAGTGTCTGCATATGTGTCATTTCAGATGAATCCTTGCAAGAGTTCTCATCCTTTCTCAGAAACTTGGAAGATCCAAGAGAGCTGATGGTGAGCACAACCAGTTGAGACTTGCACCAAACACACTCTCTGTTATACATTTCACTCAATTCCTTGCAGGCTAAAAGATATTTTTGGAACATGCCAGCATGGCCATTTGCTTGTGGAGAGACACAACACAGTTCAACACACTTCTCAACACATAGTCTGTAAAGCGACATCAGTCCTCTGTTTGTTCCTGCATTATTTAGTCACATTTTTGCCACAGGAAGTGAGTTGCATTGCCATAAGTTATTTGTGTCCTCTCTCACAGATTGCTCAGAGATTGCACAAGACCGCTGCTTATGTTGAGTCATGTCACCTCAACTGTGTTGTGTAGGGACTGTACTTTCAAAAACTCTGCAAGAACATCCAATGGCACTTGGTTTATGTAATTTCAAAGACTAATGTATATGTTATCTGTAAATAACTTAGCAACTTGATTTTACAGTGTAAAATGTGTAAAAATGAGACAAAAGAAAATATTTCACTTTTACCTATTAGATTAGATGACAAATCCCTTCCTCTGCATTCTTAAGGTATGAGAGGACTATATATTCTAATAGGTGGTTAACCATCTAGGTAGGAAGGGCTCATGTTGCATGTAGGTCATGTTAGTATTTATTTAGTATGCAGAATTAGAGAGCTGAAGGCCCTGCCCATGACTCAAAGTGCAACAGCTGACAGTTGTCATGAGCTCAGATTTGAGCCCCACCCGTTCATAACACCGCAGCAGGCCAATGACGTTATGGCCCCTTGGCTCACTGGAGTCATGTGTAGAAGGGGCAGAGCTAACGGGTCCTGACAGGGTCAGAAACAGAGTAATGGTAGACCGGAGATGCTCATTCTAACAGTCACACCATGGATTGCCTTGGTTATTTCATTACCTCATTTAAGGGCAAAGAGAATGTCATTAATTACTTCAAATGGGGAAGAGTGTTCCTAAATTTCAAGAAGCTTGATTTACACCGCAAATATAAATAAATCATAACAGATAACAGATATGTGCAGAGCTGCATTCATTAGGTTCTGAGCCCTTAAAGGGAAATGGTTTTTCGATGTGTTTGGGTTTGCTCGCAAAACTCCTGCATTTCTCAGAGAAACCTTGCAAACTCTCGCAAAAGTTTTGTGTTCTCTCACGAACTTTCTTGGACAAATACAAAACGTGTGATGGAAATAATCATTATTTTGTGAGCAAATGCAAAGTTTCTTAGGGGAATGCGATTTATGAGAGAAGGCAAACGTTTTGCGAGTTAAAGGTGCTCTATGTATTTTTTAGCGGCCTCTAGCGGTGATGTTTCAGATTGCAACAAGAGGGCTCGTGCTCGTGCTCGTGTGCGTGTGCGTGCTCGATCTCAAGAGCGAGCATTCACTACCGGCCACACAGAGACTTTCAACGCAACGGCGAAAGCATCACACAACATGCTAACTCATGTAAACGCCCACTGCAACGTTACAATAATAGGCTACTTTTATCAGCTTGACGTTGAACTAATGCTCCATGCTCGTACCATGATAACGTTACATTGACTGCATTTAGCCGGCATGTGGTGTTATCTAGCATAAGGCATTTCACTAACTATTCGTGTATCTTTCACAATCAGCAATGTCAACATAGGTGAATGTATAATAATGATAACGAAAACAGTGAACTAGACTGAACAATGTCAGTGTAACAGTAAGACAGTAGGAAGTAACATTACTGTACTGAACGTGTCTGGAAATGTTTAGTATAAACAATATGATAGTAGTGGGATGAGTAACTTTAGACTGTAGATCTAGTACATAAAATAAGTTACATCCTAAAGCACCTACTTTTTGTTATCCTGGAACAGTCTTTTGTATTAATTTCATGTCTCATGTAGTTTACTTTGCTATTTCATTAGAGTTTACTAATAATTCAAAAGCTCTGCCGATGTTGATCCGTGTTTCCGTCCTGAGTCGATCAGAATTACGTTTGGCCTGACGAGCTTCAGCAGATAAAACTTTTTTTTGTTTTTTATATTTATGTGGAGTTTGTGTTGGAGTGTGTGTTGTGCTGGAGGCAGGTCGTTTTGGGGTGTTATCAGACTCCATGTCGTCAGCTGCAGTGCCGTCGGTCGCATAGACTGTATATAAAAAGGAGAGAGGCTCGGGAGCGCGCATGCATGTCACATCCGATGGATTTCGCGGTAAATCCGACCCGGAGGCTTCACATATAAATATGAATATTGGCCTTCAGAGGTAAAACCCGACCAGTGGATCATTGTAATGTGTGATTACAACCCCTTCACACACAGGCAATAAAAAAAGGATTCATTTTAGAAGAAAAGCTACATAGAGCACCTTTAAAGCAAACTTTCTTGGGGATCGTAAAACAATTTTTTTGTGAGAGAATGCAAAGATTTTGCGATCTAATGCAGTTTTCTTGTTGGAACACAAAAGTTTTGCAAGTGAACGCAAAAGCATCGATGTCCTTTTAGGAAAGGGCTGGGCTACTAGAAATCCACTTTCCTGCAGAGTTTAGCTCCTCCAACCCTGATGAAGCTCATCAAAGCTTTCCAGTTATTCTGAAGACCTTGTTTGTTTAGCTTGTTCAGGTGTTTGATTGGGGTTGAATCTTAACTCTGCAGAAAAGTATATTTCGAGGTCCTGTGTTGCCCAACCCTGCTTTAGGGGCTCCGTACTGTTGCATTCTATTTGGCTTGTCATCACAGGGACCACATAGAATATTGAGCATATTACCTTTTTAAAATTCAAATTGTTTAATTCTGCTAATTTAATTAAAAATAAAAAAAAATCTTAAAATGGATCCGAGAGTGTACTACGCACTTATTAGATGAAAGAATTATATTATCCAGCGTATTTAGTAAACAAATATGGAAGCAGTGGGGGAAGTGTAGAATTTTATGAATGGCAGCTGTTCAATTTCTGTAGAAATCTGTGGAGCTTTCTGTAGATTTATTACAGTGTGCAGGTTTAGTCATGACTACGGAATAGGTGATGCAATGATGTCACCTTTATTGACATTTAAAATTTAAACCTACAATGTGTTCGCTCAAGTTTTGATGAAAGAAAATCATCCTGTTTCTGCTAATGTTTAATATAATGAAATTAAATGGTCAAATATTATATATCAAATTACTGAATTGCCTTTTCACAGATGAGAAACATCACAGAGACACTGATGAAGCCTTTAGAAAAGTTTCGGAAAGAGCAGCTCGGCTCAGCAAAGGTAAAAATCTAGATCTTCACTGTTAACTCCCACATTTAGGATGTTTGCATTGATTTAATTAAAAGAAATGGAAAACTGTACATTTATTGTAACCAGTTCCATATATTAAAAATAGTAAGTTCCTCCATTTGATATTTCAGGCAGAGAGAAAGAGGTACGAGAAGGAAACAGAGAAGTACTACAGCTCGCTAGAGAAACTTTTGAACATGTCAGCAAAGAAGAAGGAGCCACAATTACAGGAGGTACTTTACATTTTATTCTTCCCACACACAAGATGGATGTGTAATGCAAACTATTTTTTATAAATGATGGTTTTCTTCTTTATCTCTTGAAATAAAATCAGATTTTTAAGTCAAGGTCAATGGTTTTCTTTCTATATTCTTTACAATACTGTTTATTGCAGTTGTTTAGAGAAGGTACAGTCTGTCATTATTTCTACTGTATATAAGAAGCTAGGCGTCTCATTTGATCGAACAATGTCTGGGGAACATAACCTTTCAAGGCGTGCACATCAGCCATGAATGTTGTATACATTGAGCACAAAAACCACTAGAGACTGTTGATATTTTTATGGTGGGCCATTATGTTCCTCTGGACCTTATGACATGTGTTTTTTGGGTTAATGGCTGTGGTTTTAGCAGTGGGCTATTTAGTGTCAGACTGGTGTTCACAGCAGACAAACCTCTAAGTATAAGATCCATAGAAATACTAAGAATCTCCAGTTCATAAGACACATAAGTTGTCATGGGCCGTACACATTGACTCCAGACAAATATGGTTAGGGATGGGAATTTTGGTCATTCAGTCTAATCTAGTACGCAACAAATTATTCTACTGTACATATTTAGACACTGTTACATCTCAAGACAACTTAATTCAACAACTCTCAACTCAGTGTTAATGCAGACACTCTCATAATAAAATTAATTCATTTTATGCCGTGTCTCTCCACAGTAGTTTCTCCCACCAGTCCTATATTTACAATGCAGATAAGGCACTCTGTTTAAAGCATGGGCTTAATGATAAAAAAAAGTCTGTTGGTGGTGGTTTATAAAAAAAAAAATAATAATAATCAGATGATTACGTCTTTAGTAACTATAATAAAAGTTCAAACTGTCACAAACACCATTTGGGTTAAAGTTAAACTATTGGCATCCAATTTTCTTATTTACAAGAAATCCAAACATTGCTGTGGTTATTGCAATGCCAACTGAATGAATTTTGGGAGTTATTCCTGTATTCATTATACCCCAGAACGCATAACACACACAGGATAAAAGCTTAAGTGATTCATTTCCACGTTTAAATGCAGTTGCCAAAACGTGGTAGTGTGTATGTGGGCATAGACACCTTCATTTGCAACTTCAAGTTCTAAGTTCTTTTGGTAAAGCTTTGAGACTTTAAGCCTACATAACTGTGTTTATTTATGATGGAGTTCGCCATGGAATGTTGCCTAGAGACGTCAGTGTGATCCACTCTATTTAACTGTATTTGCACAACTAATAACTATATTAGTTACTGTTTAGCACTGTTTACATTCACACAATACTTTACTCAATTACATGATGCAAGTCATTTCTTTGTTTTCAATGTTATACATGGATAGGCAGACAGCTTTTGGAAAAATCTCCATCTGCATATCTTAAGTCACTCTTTATTTTCATGTGATGACTTCTGTTCCTTGTTTTCTTCAACTTTTTTTTTTCATTCTGTCTGTCTTTCAGGCAGACGTGTCGGTGGAGGCGATGAGACAGCACTTTCAGGAGACGTCTCTGGAGTACGTTTGCAAGCTGCAGGAGATACAGGAGAGGAAGAAGTTTGAGTGTGTTGAGCCTGTAAGTGCATGACCCTTCATCCAGATGGTCATTCAACTTGATTTATTTCAACATGGTTTGCTTTCATGTTTGTCTATCAACAGCATTTGGTATGGTTTCACATGCCACAAAAAAGAAAGGAAACACATTTAATGAAATAACTCTCGATGCTGTGAAGTGATTGTACAGCACCAGAATACACGTTACAAATATACATTTATTCATTTATTTATACATATACACTATTTCAAAAGTACTGTCTAACACTTAGTAACAAGCTGACATGTGCACCAAACAGAATAACAAAAATAAGGGCTATGTTTGGAATGCCATACTGGCATAATACTCTTACTATTTCTTTGGCATGTTGTAAGTGTGCAAATTTTATACAAAACTGAATTGAAAATGAAAATAAAAAATCACTTTAAATACCAAATGAAACCATAACCCGTATTTACACTAGTCTGTTATGCTCACCAAGGCTGCATTTATTTGTTTAAAAATACAGAGAGAGAAAAAAGTAGTAAGATTGTGACATTACAATTTAAAATAACTGTTTTCGGTTTTTTATTTAATCTAAAATGTAATTGATTCCTGTGACGTCAAAGCTGAATTTTCAGCATCATTACTCCAGTCTTCAGTGTCACACGATCCTTCAGAAATCATTCTAATGTGCTGATTTGCTGCTCAAGAAACTCAATTCTTTTTTATCAATGCTGAAAACAGTTTTGCTGCTTAATACTTTTGTGGAAACTGTGATACATCTCACTGACCCTAGACGTTTAGGCAGTTGTGTAGCCTACCTTGTATCATATAAATAAATGAAATATAATTATATTCAGTGAGAGCTGTAAGTACAGCATGGTTAGGTACAATTACCACACACAAAAGCCTCTTTTAAATATGGGTTTGTCCAGGCCATTTACAAGTGGGTCTATTTGGGCCCACATTCTCACTAATTCTCACTAATTCACCTAGGACACACAATTTGATAGTTTGCATAAGCACATAAATTAGTATCCTTCTAATTTAGCTGAGCAAATTTTTACCTGATTACTTTCCAGTTTATGGATGCTTGTTTGACTTTCTACTTACATGAAACCGTGTTATTTGACATCACATAGAGATTTAGACACAAAAACATATATGAACATGGTAATGTCTGTCCTAGTTGATATAAGTAGTTCTAATTTTTTTATTTCTCTCTTTCCCTTCTTCTCCTCTCTCTCTTGTGCAGATGCTGGCATTCTTTCAGACTGTATTTACTTTCTATCATCAGGGATATGAGTTGGCCAAAGATTTTGACCATTACAAAAAGGCCCTTCAAATCAATATTCAAAATGTAAGTAAAAACTTTCATAATGTTTTTTACTTTAATACACTAAACTTTAAATCTTTTTTTTTTTAATGATTTACTCGTAAAGATTTGTAAACTATATTTTTTTTATTCCATTTATCCAATGTATGAGTAAAATATTGAACATAAACAGCATATAAACTGTTTATCAACACATGTAGAGTGATTTGCAGAGATGTGTCAGTCTTCACTCACGTTCTTCTGGTTAATGCTATTGGCTCGGCAGAGTGACATGGAAAGAGAGTTACCAAGACAGGATACAGCAGCGTTTTGAGAGGGCCAAGGTTTCCAAGGGAAACTTAAAGGCCTTTGTTTGCATTGACCTTCCATTGTGTTTAACTCCTAAGCCGGAAGTTTGAGAGCCGACTTCCTCCCTTGTCCTATTTGATTGGGCCGCGTCGCTGGTGTTTTGTTTTGAATCAGTTATAAATCACTTGTGATGGTCAGGGTCAGAGTTCTGAGGATGTGTAGATTGAAAACATGGATTAGCATGTTTAAGCACATTGAGGTGTTTTTTTTTTTTTTATGCATTGAGTAATTTCCCAATGTATTCCAAAGATTTTGGGAATTCCATCAGTGTAAATTCCCAGTTACCAGGCCCTCACAGAATTTGTAAAACTGAATCAATGATTGTGTTATTTTGTTAGTTTGTGCCTCTGCTTTCAGACTCGGAGTCGTTTTGAGGGCACACGCTCTGAGGTGTACGAGTTATTGAAGAGAATCAAAGAGTCGCCACAGGAGTACAGACAGACCAGCCCCATCAGCAGCGAGGGCTATCTTTACATGCAGGAGAAACGTACGCAAGACAATTTTTATGATGGAACTCTTTTCTGCCTATTACTTTTGCTGACTGTCATGCCATGTATCCTGCGCTTTGCTGGTTGCATTACTGATAGTTATTGCTATTTCTGCAGGACCTCCTCCTTTTGGATCCAGCTGGGTGAAACGCTATTGCACGTTTGTGAAAGAACAAAAAATTCTACACATGAAAACGTTTGACCAGAGATCAGGCGGGAAGCTTGTAAGTTCTCATCACACATGACACATTAGTCTTGATAATGGCATGTTTCATATAATATTAATGTATTGCTGATCTGCTGTTCACAGAATGTTCTGTATCCTTTCAGGGTGAGACGGACTCTGTTACAATGAAGTCTTGTGTCCGCAAAACCACAGACACACTTGACAGGAGGTTCTGCCTAGACATAGAGATCACAGATCGGTATGTTGGCCATGCCTCTGGTTATAATGGTTTCCATGAATAAATGTAATGATGTGTTTCTGATTCACAAGAAATAATGTCATTTATGCATCAAAAATAAAAACTTTTACAATGTTTTACTATGACTCACTTGTAACCCAGTATTCCTTGACAAGTAGATTTTTTTGCTTAAAGGGGACATGAAATAGATGTCCTTTGTATTTGCTAGGGCTGTCAGTTAAACGCGTTATTAACGGCGGTAACGCAAACCCATTTTAACGGCGTTCATTTTTAATGGTCTTTTTGGCCTAGCAAACTTTGTAGTTTTTTTTCACATGCTTTTGCAACAGGACGCGGCATGTGCGGCGCTGCGCTATGAAACCCATACATTTCAATGGCTTGCGTCGCGCGAGGACGTTTTGTTGCTTCGTCGACCAAAGCGCAAGCGGATCTAGCTAGACCGGAAACAAAACTACAGGCACGACGCCGCACACACTTGTTTAGGCTTGCGAGCCGGCCAAATAGTAGGTTAACGTTAAGTTTTGAGTTGATGACGAGCGCGAGACGCCGAAATGGATGCCAATAAGATTCTGAATGGAAAGTTTACTTTTAAAAAGTTGCCAAATGGTTCCATTGACAAGACCAAAGTGATCTGTGTGTTTTGTCGTTGTGAACTGAGCTATCATCATCGCAGCACGTCCAGTCTGAAATACCACTTGATGATGGCCAAGCACAAACACACAGCTGATGCCAATTCTCCGCCCCCTCGTCAATATCAGGACCTCGTCAGTATTTCTTTCACTCCTTTATTGATGGACAGTGTTACATTGAGAGATTATTTGCTCCAAGCGAGAATGTTAGTGTGAAATTAAACACTGTATATGCCAATGTTGTTTTCAATAAAAAACATTGCACAAAGCAAGCCGATCCACTTTTCCATGTTGATAAGAGCATTAAAATGAGAAAAAATAATGGGACAAAAAGAAATCAAGAGACATTTAGAATAGATAAAAATGTGCGATTAATCGTGAGTTAACTATGACATTAATGCGATTAATCGCGATTAAATATTTTAATCATTTGACAGCACTAGTATTTACACATAATAGTTTTCTCTACAATACAAACTTACTGCAAGTTTCTTACCCAGCTAACTGCCCTGTTGAAAATAAATTGAATTGACTTGAAACGCCACTTAACAGGCATATGTAAATCAAGGATGTGTACTCTTAACCACTCATGTCTGTCCACCGATCACAAGAGTGGTACTGCTGTTGAGCAAAACCTTCGGAAGTTATTTTGTCCCTGGATGTAGACTAACTGCACTTCCAAAAATGGTGCATACCCTTCCAAGAGATCAAACCATTAGAAATGCAAGGTGTAAGTTTATTTTTAACAGCTGGCCTTAGTGATTGAAAGAGAATGTTTTTTGTTTGGTCATCTCATTTCTGAACGGAGTCTTCTTTTTTTTTAAATTAATATCAACAAGCTGACAGTTTTTCTAAATATCTTGATTGCAAGCTACACCAGTGGCAAGTATTTTGTCTTCAGAGGCAATCGTTGTGGTTGCATTGGATAATTTTTTAAGTTTGCCAAGTGTTTTGTGACAGAGTGAACATAATATAAACATCTGAAAATGCATTTTATGACCCCTTCGAAAACAAATCCAACAAAATTAGTAGTTTTTGATGGTTAAGGTTTATAAATTTATCTTATGATGATAATAAACAGGAAAAGAAAAACAATAGGACCGTAAATCCCTCTGAAACTACTGGGTTTAACATGAGTGAGAAACAAATTAGATGCATTGGCACTACATCTCATTTGTCAGAGGATAAGGAAAATCTAAATATTTTGATCCTCTAGGATACACTCAGAACCCTCATTAATCAAAGCCAAAGCTGAACCGGGCAGAGTGTATGATGAACACTAATTGTGTGCTTCATGATGCTGGTTAGTGGAATCTTTTAAACAGCACATCAGAATGTTTCCAAATTAGGATATGACTCAATCTCAAAATGAATATGCCTTTGATCTCTATAATCCAATGTATTTCCAAGTGAAAAGGATCTTAAACAAGAAAAAAAATGACTGGATTTTGGTCTGTTTCGAATTGATTGGACAGTCAAAGTTAATAGACACCCCAGATTTGCACCATAAAAGCTGCATGTGTACTAGAGCTGCACGATTAATTGTTAAAAGATTGCAATCTTGATTCAAACTCCCACGCGATATCATTCCTAATTGACAACATTTCGCCTGTGTCTATTAAACCTGGAACGTTCCGATCTGCGTCTGCGCTACCGCTGATCCAGAGAGAGCAGTTGTAATATATACTGTAAATATAAAAACCGCTTCACAAACAGTTTTTTCAACCGCAAGAGTATCATTTCTGTGTTAAAAATATTCATATATTCACAGAAGAACTGGAATAAAAGTTTATAGTTCAGACATGCGTAAACACGATCAAATATCACCTTTTGAAAGTACATAATTTGACACTTCAAAATAACAATTGTATATATTACATTGTTACGCCACCAGGTGGTGACGAGACTGTTAAAAAAATTGTATTTGCCACTGAATCATTCATTTAATAAGAGATTTGTTAAAAAAAAACCTAATTCATGTTCCCAGTAATGAAACAATGAAGTATTTATGAGAGAGTCGTTAAATCATTCATTCAAACCAGTTTTTCTTTTAAATAATTCATTCAGCATTGATCATTTTTTTCAGAACCTCTAGTAAATTACATGTTATTTTGTTTAGTTGTCTGTTCAGAATCGTGAGAGAATTGTGATCTCTGTTTGAAACCAAAAACCGTGCACTAATGTGTACTTTTCTCCTGTATGTAAAGATGGCCCTCGCTTCTGAAGGGACTGGCCTGTCTGTATTCCTTTTATTCTCTTCATTAACTTACCTCAAAGTGTGTGCCCTCAAAACAACTCTGTGTCTGATGTAGAGGCACAACCTTAAAATAATAGAAACATGAAATGGAAAGGTGCTTTACAGTTACTACATTTCGATAAAACAATAATGGAGCTGTTCATGCACTAAAAGACAAATAATCTACAATAAACAAGTAATTGTGTTCAGTTTTAATTTTGTGTATAGCAGCAGGCTAAGTCTGTGTGGTTGTTTGTTTTTTTTCTAGACCAGGCACAGTGCTGACAGTCCAGGCAATCTCAGAAGATGACCACAGATTCTGGATGCATGCGATGGGAGGAAAGGAGCCGGTGTGTCAATCCCTCACTTCAACTTCAAGCTATATTCAGTCAAAATAATTCTCTGATTATCAGTTGACAAAACATGAGGCTCATTTAAATTGTAATAATATTGCAAAACATAAAAAAAACATTTTATTTTATGTACTTCAAAGCATTTTAATGATCAGTAATAGTGTCTTGTTTGGTATATAAATTCAGTTCTGTTTGGTGTAATGTGTTTTATGCTGGTCTGGTTTGTGTTTTCTGATGTTTATCTCTTACGCACAGATGCAGTATCTCAACCGGACACATTCAAGAGAAAGAGGAAGTGAGTGAACTCAAATTAATATCAGACCTATTGTTTACAGCTAAAGTTTACCTTTAATTGTAGTACAAAAAAACATTTATTTATATGCTTGTGTTTATTGATGGTGCATATATTGTGATGACATTTGTGTATTCCGTAGTTGACGCCCAGTTGGATGATGTGGGAACAAGCTTTGTGAAAAATTCAATAAACGCCATTGAAGCCAGAGGTAACTCCTAGTAATGTTTTAATATATGAAAATCATATACAAAATAAGTAACAGCATGTTGTAATGCATATAAAAACATATCAGGCATTATTTACAGTTTATTGTCTATCAACAAAGGAAAACTCATCTGCTAAAACCTTCAATAAGGTTACATAATGCAGTAGCACCCTCTGAACACTAGAGAGCAGAATGATCTAGGAGTTTTTTTCAGCCCAAACCAACAACCTGTTGTGCTTCATTCTGGATAATGCAGGAAAAGCTTAGTGTGCTATTTAGTTTGTCCAGATCAGCTGGGATGGTTATAGAGTACCTAACACCTATTGTTTTTTTTGTTTTTTTTTTTGCAGGTATTAATGATCAGGGTCTGTACAGAGTGGTTGGAGTCAGTTCAAAAGTACAGAAGCTTGTCAGTTTTATGATTGGTAAGTTGAGCCTTGTTTGATAGGTCTGTAATTGTTGGTCAGATTTAGGTGATTTTCTTTGAAGCCCCATAATTGTATCTAGAGCCAGTATACTATTGAGTCTCATTGGCATTCAGACATTCATCTTGTCTGGTGTCTGTCTGTATGTCCCTTTGTCCTGTCCTTTAGGTGACACCTGACTCCATTACTGCAGACAGTCAATCAGGTTTCCGGACTTTTTCCCCTCTCTCTCTCTCTCTCTCTGTCTCTTTTCCTTGATCCTATTTCGCCTCTCCCAAAAACCCGACACGATCTGATCACGCTCTATCATCATCTCTCTTATGCTCCTGTTCCATGTTCATCTATCTATCTTTCTTTCTTTCTTTCTTTTGGTCTCTCTCTCTCTCTCTCTCTCTCTCTCTCTCTCTCTCTCTCTCTCTCTCTCTCTCTCTCTCTCTCTCTCTCTCTCTCCTGCAGTCGTAGCATGAGCTGGTATCTCTCTGCTCTGAATGCTAAATGCTGTGTCGAGTCGGCAGGCTGCCTGTGCCCCTGCTGCTACATGAACTCCGCCACTCCAGAGTCTAATAGCCATTAACACTGTATACGGATCCACTGTCCTCAACTGAGAACAGCATGAGCCCTTGTAGTTGGTTCATGAACTTAAAAACCTGCCAAATGTCCAGAGCACAACCAACTATCCATCTCATTTTCAAATGCAGAGCACTGTCATTAACAGGTTCTGCTGTTGCTGGATTATATGCACACATTCTCGTTTTTTAAAGGGACAGTTCATCCAGAAATGAAAATCATTTAATCATCATTTGTTCAAAAACATTCTTCAAAATATATTCCTTTGTGTCCCATGGAATAAGGAAATTCATACAGGTTTGAAACAACTTTAGGGTGAATAAATGATGTCGGAATTTTTGGGTGGACTAAAGCTTTAAGGTCTACACACAATTAGAATTGTGCATTTAGAATTTTTGATTAATGATGTAGGATTATGTAAGTGAATCGAAAGAAATCGCAAACATAATACGATACGTTAGTATCCAGATGAATCCGTTCCACAGTGATATAATCATAACCCCTGTATGCCAATTTCAATTGCTATATTTGTTTTATTGACACTCTTTCTCACAATGTGACTTAGGATGAGCATACATTATGTTGTATTGAGATGTCGGTACGTAGAATACAAATTGAGTGTTAAGATGAAACCACGTAGTGCTAAAAAGTCAGAGATGTGATGTGCTCACAAGTCACAAGGATCCATTGTGCTTACAGGAACACTGGTTGAAAACCCAGGTAGTTGACATGTCATTAAAGCAATAAGCCATGAGAGGCCATGCGACGGTTATCATTTATTAACAACATATTTCAGAACCTGATCAATTTTATAACAACTTCTAGTTATATTAAATAATCACAAACTAAAAATGTTAAGCAGCAAAACTGTTTTGAACATTGATAATAATAAGAAATGTTTCTTGAGCACCAAATCAGTTTCTTGAGCACTGAAGACTGGAGTAATGGCTACTGAAAATGCAGCTTTTGCCAATAAATGACATATTAAAATATATTAAAATAAAGTTTAATTTGTAGTAATATTGCACAGTATTAATGCCTTTGCGGTATTTTTGACTTCTGCAAAACTTATTTCAAAAACATAAAAAAATATTTTTACTCCAAACTTTAAAGTTTCAAGTTTGTGTACACAGTATGTGTATAGACCAATTTCGAGCCTACGTCACGCGTTAGCTGGAGGCAAAACAAAGGGAAAACTGGAGGCGGCCAATAGAAACCAGCACAGATTCGGCTACATAATAAGGAGCTTAAATTATTATTATTATTATTATTAAATGTCATCTTGTTGTGTTGTTGGGTGCAAGAATCGATGAAAAATGAATATGCTGTATCTGGAATTTTTATTTCTAGAAAATATTCACATAATTAAAATTGCACCGTAATGTCTCTCTTTACATTGTCGTCTTCTTGGCGCTGGCTAGGCAGAACTGCGGATCGTACCACACAAGTCTTGTACATGACCATTCAGCACATAGTTATTATAGGCATCTAAAGATTTATATGCCCTCAGTTTCTCTTTACACTCGGTTTAGGTGTAGAAGTCAGGCCACTCGTTAACGTTAATCCTGTCAGATCGTCCATCCATTGACAGCGTGTACAGTACAGGTCAGCCAATCTGGTTCCGTCCGTTAAAATGAACTTTTGCAAATAACAATCGCGGTCCTGGACAGTGAGTGACCTTACACATTAAGATAAAACCAGTCATTGTTAAAAAACAAGCTAACAAAACTTGCAAACTAACGTTAGAGAAGCGGCCAGAGGGATCGTTCTGCCTCCACCTAAGCTCCGCCCACAAAAACGTTACCATGTTTACCAACTGAAAATTGGTCTATTCCAGGCTGCTTTTAAAGGAGAGCAGAATTGGGAAAGAGAGCATTTATCTCTCAATCTCTTCTCTGCTGTTTGTGTCGTCAACAGCGGAAGTGCATTATAAAATGTAAATAGTTTAGACCAGGTTGGAGCACGTTGAATTCAGCGACTTGACTGAATACCATCAGACTTGCAGTTTAAGACAGAGAATATTTCTAGTCCTTTGCAAATAGCACGCATTGTTTGATTGAGAATGAATTTACTTGTATGACTAAAATGTTGTGCATAAGTGACCCAAGACATTTTTTGATTATCTGCTGTGTTATATAAAAACACACTCAGACATTATCATGGTAACAACCAGACAGAGATGTGATTGTCAGTGCTTTGAATTTGCTGAATTCTTCAAAAGTGTAAAAACACAGAGTTACAAACGTTTGCATACTCTTTGTCCAACCTCCTGGCAGGAAAGTATTTATAGATCCATAAATCCATACGTGAGCAGTGATACTACCTCAAATGTAGAAGAGAAATTAACTGAATGAATCAGTTCTCCATATGTCTGCCCCTCAAATCGTCCATACCCTGACCCTCAGCCCTTTCTCTGTCTCACTTTCTTTATCGTTCTCATTGTACTTCATCTATACTGAGCATCCTAATCGGGTCCTAGAAGGGTAAAACTGGCTCAGAAATGTTTTTTTTTATTTATTTTTTATGCGATTTTAGGCATTACAGGGATTATTCAAAACAAATAAATAGAAAAGAACAAAGGGAGCTTAGCACATCACAAGTCAAAGATACAAGTGAAACATGAAACCTCCATCTGAATCCCTTATTTCTGCTTATTTTAAATGTGTTTTGTGTTTATTTTGATTGTACCATTTTACTGTTGTCCCAGACTTTTCAAAATGCACTACCGTTGAAAAGTTTAGGGTCTTTTTTAAAGAAATGAATACTTTTATCCAGCATTCATAATGTTGCAAAAATTATATTTCAAATGAAGGCTGTTTTTTTTTTTTTTTTACTTTCTTTTTCATCAAATAATCCAAGAATCCTTTTTTTGGATTATTTTTTTTTTTCAAGAAGACATTTGTTTTATCATAGTTTCCAAAGAAAAATATTAAGTGGCACAACTGTTTTTTAACAGTGATATAAAAAAATTGAAAAATGTTTCTTAAGCACTGAGTCATCATATTAGAATGATTTCTGAAGGATCAGTGACAGTGAAGATTGGAGTAATGGCTGCTGGAAAACAAAAACAGATTTGCCACCATAGGAATAAATTACATTTTAAAATATATTAAAATAGAAAACAGTTACAGTGTATTTAAAATTGTAATGTTTCACAATATTAATGTTTTACTGTGCTGCCATCACATCCAGCTTTGATGACCATACAAGAAGACAAAAAAAAAAAAAAAAAAGAATAATCTTACCGATGTAAGGGGATTTACAAAGACCCAGAACCAGATATGATGAATGAAGACCCGGAGTCAGAATTTTACTGAAGATAGTTTGCAGTTTCATCAGCAGAAGTCAGCTTCAAGACTCACAAAGAGTTCATAGGCCGCCCCGCTTACAGTTACAAAGATTACAGCAATTATACCCTTCACCAAGGTCTAAACTTCTAAGAAATAGATAAACATATTAATGTTCCACACATATACAGATAGACTGAAGCATATCTCCATCGATTATGCAGCTGACACTCGGACCCTGAAGTTAGGCACGTCGTGACCTTCCAGGTCGTAGATTTGGGTTGCTGGGTGCCAGCATATACAGAACAACAACTTAGTCAATCTCCAATAATGCCAGTGGTTCCTTAACCTGTAACCAAAAAGACTAACACACACACCGACACACAGCTTTTCCAAGGTTGGATTTGGCCAGGCTCTAACTATAAACAGGATAGTCATCTCAAAACATCAAGATAATACATTATTTCTCTTAAGGAGAGGACACTTTAGTCTAAATGGAAAGTAAGGCTTTAACTGAGAAATGGTACCTTAAACTATAGACTTTAATGACCCATGTGACCATTGCTGTCAGAGTACCCTAGAAAAGCAGATGAATGTATTGACATATGTTAAAAAAGTCCATACTTCATTTCTGGAAGCCGGGCTAAATGAGCAAGCACTGTTACTGCATTCAGATATCAAATACAGACATTAGAGAGTACATGAAAAGAACTTCAGTAATCACACTGGTAGCTTCTATAACAAAGTAAAATCTCCTAAGCTTACAGAAGTTATTCAACTCATGTGACGTTTAGAAGGAAAAATATTGATTAATACCTTGATTATAATCGTTGAATATATACATTGAAGCAGCAGTAGATTCCAAAATCCACCCCCTTCACCGACCATAGTTTTTTTCCCTCTGATAAAGATTATTTGATCTTAAATTCTTTATTGTTTTGTGATCTGTAGATGAGAAGAGCAATGAAATAGATTTAGCAACCTGTGAGGATTGGGATGTTAAAACCATCACCAGTGCTTTAAAGCTTTACCTGAGGTGAGTTTGTACTTTCTACATTCCGTTTCTGTTTGCAGATAATAAACACAACATAGTTTCTATATACCCTTTCTCTAAATGTACTGATTGTAATTTGTCAGAATAGGCCTACACCATTCAGCCTCAAGACAATTGCTTATTTCTAAAGAAACTTTAGTTTAAAGCTAACTTCTGTGAATCCTCAGAAAGAAACTTATGGGCCTTTTCATTTATAAATCGATTTGAATCTCAAATAAAAGTATCAAGGAAAAATGAGTTCATGTGAAATGTCAGGGTTTTTTAGTGAATTTCACAGTGGGACATTCCTTTCAGTGATAAAATATGTATATTTCAACATTTAATTAACAATGTGTAACAATAGAATAGCACAATGCAGCTTTTGTAATGCAGCAGAAAAACAGGTGTATGTGTGTTTTGTCTTTGTACTGCACTACAAGTATGAATGATATTGGTGTGCACATTTTGGGCTAACGGTGCTGGGACGTGTGCCAGATACTGAGCGAAAGTACCTTCAGATGAACTTGGTTATCACAGTGTGTATGTGTGTTTGTGTGCTCATCTAATTTCTTGCAGTGATCAGCCACATTAATCATAGTGTTGTGTATATAATAATGCCCAATAAAGCCGATAAATCTCTCCCCCTCTCTCACTCTCTCAAGGAGCCTTCCAGAGCCACTAATGACATACGAGCTGTATAAGGAGTTCATCGTCCCTGCAAGTAAGGTCTTTGTCCTTGCTTAGACAATAATCAAGCAATATCCAATCAATTACTTGACAAATGCCATGAAATTATAATATGTGCATGTCAGTGAGAAAAGAGCTTTTGATTTGTGAAACTCTTAAGGGGGGTGAATGCTTGTCAAAAGTATCACTGAATTAAATTCCGTTGAAGGACATCTGAAATATGAAAATAACTGCCAAAGATGGTTGTCCTCAGAAGGTTATCGTAGGTTATGGTACTGTAGGTGTTGTAAGTCAATAGAGGCAGGGCAAAACTACTGTTAGTTATTTGCTTTTGACAGGGGAACAGGGACTTATTGTATTCAGGTCCCCCTGGAGCAACATTTAGCCACTATTCCACTTCGGCCAATACAGTTACACTCAGTGTTGTTATTGTTAACTAAAACTATTAAAAATGATTTATACAGCTGAAATAAAATAAAATATAACTATTACATGAAAAAAGCAAATAAACTGAACTGAATTAACTGAAATAATTGAAAGTTGAAGTACTAAAACTGAAATGAAAATAAATTAAAGCTAAACAGAAAGGAAATATAAAATAACTAAAACTAATAAAAATGACAAGCACATGACTAAATTATGAAATTAAAAACAAAAATTAGCGAAACATAACAAAAATTATAATAGAAACTGAAAATATAAAAATAAAAGCTAATTTAAAATTTTAATCAAAACTATAGTAGTACAGGGGTTGGGCAATGAAACGGAAACACTGGCCAATAACATTGGAGGTTTCACGTCTATAAATGCGCCGCCTGGTGGCCAATGTTCACTGATCTTACATTCCATCAGTTAGAGCAGAGTGTGAAGGTTGAATTAGCAGAGCGATACCACAGCTGGACATAAAAAATTGCATTCCACACAACATAATGGAAGACGTCAGAATTCAAAAGAGGACCAATTGTTGGTGTGCGTCTCGCTGGCTCATCTGTGACCAGGACAGGAAATCTTTGTGGTGTATCGAGAGCTATGGTATCTAGGGTAATCTCGGCATACCACATCCAACAGGAGTAACTGCCCAGCTGCCTAAATCACTGCAGAATTAAATATACACCTTGACTCTCCTGTTTCCACCAAAATTGTTCATCAGGAGCTCCAAAGAGTCAATATTCATGGTCGGGCTGCTATAGCCTATGTTGTTTTCAATGGTGCCAACAGTGAAAATCTTGGGCTGTGGACCTTGTGCAATATGTATTGTTCTCTGATGAGTCCACCTTCACTGTGTTTCCCACATCTTTAAGAGTTACGGTGTGGAGAAGCCCTAAAGAGGCTCAACACCTGGACTGTTGCTGCCCAGAGTGAAGCACATGGTGGATCAGTGATGTTTGGGCTGCAATATCATTGCATTCTCTACCGTGCTTGATGGGCGCGTCACTTTCAATGACTGGAGGACCATGTGCACCTAATAGTACAAAAATTGTACCCTGAAGGGGTACTGTGTATCAGCATGATAATGCACCAATACACACAGCAAGACTTGTGACAGAATGGTGTAAAGTTGAACATCTCCCATGACCTGCACAGTCCCCAGATCTGAATAGTTTTGAGCCACTTCGGGGTATTTTGGAGGAGCAAGTCAGAAAACGTTTCCCTCCCCCAGCATCACATGGTGACCTGGTCACTGTTCAGGAAGAGGAACGGCTCCAAATCCCTCTGGCCACTGTGAAGGACTGGAATGTGTCATTCCCAAGATGAACTGATGCTGTTTGGCCACAAAAGAAGGCCCTACACCATATCATAAATTATTTTGGTCTAAAACCAGGTGTTTCTGTTTCATTGTTAAACACCTTTATATAAATAATACAAAAGTAACACTGATTACATCAGCCATAATAAAACATCAGAACCTGGAAGGATTGAGAGTTGAACAAATTAAAAATATCATATTTTAATTTATTTCCTGGACCAACTTTGAGCCGTATCTTGGGGTGCTTGTTTTTTAGGAGTTTCTATGCTGGTCATTTGTAGGCTAGTTTTCCTGTACTGTTTGGTCCTACTAACTCAATCATATTTAAATATATATTTATTTTAATTATATTACGATCAAAACAATAAATACATTTTATTTATTTTCTAAATAATGTATACATAGGTGAAATTTACATTTGTCTACAAAACTAAATACAAACATTTAAGCAAATGCATTTACATGTAAGTTCATGGAAACAAATTCAGCCAGATGTGTCCAAACTTTTGATTGGTAGTGTTTGTATTCAGTCTTAAAAAAAAAAAAAAATGGATCAGGTACTGATGGTACATTGAGTGCAGAGTTTAAAACTCGTATTACTCTTATTGTAAAGTGTAAACTGTGATACTGCATGTTTCATGATGTCTTCTAAAACCCCCCTTTTCTCTCTAACTCTCTCTCTTTTGGTCTACACAGAGAGCGCTAGTCCAGAATCTAGAGTTCAGGCCATTCACTGTCTGGTTCATAAATTGCCAGAGAGGAACAGATTAGTGCTCAGTCTGGTAACCAAGCATCTCGCCAAGTGAGTGGAAGCTGGTGGTTTTTCTCTCTCTTGTGCATACACAATTTTTTGTGTACATTCTCTATTTTATTTCTCCAACCTTTTACTTCTCTCGGCCTTCAGCCACTTTTTTTCTCTCATTATTTCTGACTTACTCCCTCTCTTCATGCTTACCTTCACTACACAAACACACACCCTTCTTACTGGCAGCACCAGTAGGCTACCTCTGTTGCTGAGCAACAGAGCAAACAGGCAGACAGCACTCTGGAGAGAAAAGAGACTGAGCAAAGAGACAACTCCACATGGACTTTCATAGTCTCCATGCTGTTGATCTAGATCAACAACGAAAAAAAATTCTAGAGAGAAAAAGCCTTTACCATCTCCTTTACATCCAACAACTGCAAACTTAGAGAATAGAGTTACGCAACAGCTTTCTGTTAAGAGATTAGATCGGGTAATATATTTCTAAAAAAATCTTCGCTACCATTACAAGGCTTTACCTCAGGCCTAACATTTCTATATAATGTGAATGTAAGCAAATTGAGGATAAGCGTATAATCTCTCTAACCTCCGGCAATCAGTGACTGGGCAGCCGCATTTCCTCAAAATATAGAGTGGGATTTGCTGGCAGCCAAAGATGTGCAATTGGAAATTAAATTCAGGTTATCCGCCACTAAATTCCTCTTCCATCCACTCCAGCCCTCGCAAAATGCTTTAGGAGTTGGCGCAGTTGCACACCCATCAGAGATGGAGAAAAAAAGCCAAATGTTGCCATGTTATCTGAAATGTAATCAAAGAGGTGATTAATTGCTGTCTGTCTGTGGCATATATGTTTTTTTCAGTGCATCATTTAAAAATGGTAAACTGACTTTTCAGGGCTGTAGTTTGTTTGCATTGTTCTGAAACAGGGACAAAATTGCAAAACTTCCGAAAACTCACTCGTGGTCGAATGCGTTCAAATAGCCACAAAAGACCGCCTACTCTCTGCCTAGTGCCTACTGACCTAATGCATAAACGTTATGGGAAGCCCACAAGCCAGACGGGATTCAAACTTTATCGTCTGAAGACCCAAATTTGGGTTGAAGATGAATAAAAAACCAAGCACAATGTTCTCTCACCATTCCTGATTTCTAACACGCACTTCACAGTGGACGGCTTGGTCTTGCGGCTTTCAGAGCAGAAATGAAAGCTGCTGCTCTCTGTATGTTGTTCCGACGTCTCCGGGCGCGTTCAGATGTGAATTGCGCAACCTTATTTCGTCCATAAGATCAAAAGATCTGAAAAAGCCCATACATTTACCCACCCATAGACCCTCCCCTCGAAGAAATCACGACTGAAGTGGTTGAAAGTGGACAAAAGAGACGGATTAAAATACCAGGTGTAAACGGGAATGTGTCTCCCTCATCTACTTGTGATCCGATTGACCAAAAAGCATCATAATACCAAGTGTAAACAGGGCCAAGGTTTCCTCAAGGTGGTCTCGGACCATGTTTGTTGTTTTGTTTGAACTGAATTTAATTACTATGTTCAAACAGTATATATGCCTACATGAACAAAACTAAAAAGAGAAAATGCATCAGGTTCTGACAGCACTAGACACACGTTTTTCGTTGCGACTTGAGAAGGAATGATTTGTTTCTTATACAAAGGGTGGTAAGGATACACTTTCATATGATTTACAAATGGATCTACATGGAAAATATAATAAGTAAAGAAGTTTGGCTAAAACTTCTCCAACTGTGAGGCTAATTGCCAAAAGGGTGAAAATTATATTTGAGTCATTCAGGATGCAGTTAAAAACACACACACTTTGAATATCTCAAGTTTTTGACATGCTGCCAACCCTTTCCTCCCTAATGAAAGTCTTTTGGGTAATGGCTTTTACCCACCTCTCTCTTATTTTGTCATTTGTCTATAATTAACACAACCAGAGTAAATTCAGCAAGGATGCAAGGACACTGAAGATTGTGTCTCTAAGGAATCTTTGTAATAGGAGGTTAACTGCATCTAGTCTCACAATCAAAACCAATAATACAAATGCAAATAAATTCAATGTACTCGCTATCTCTCCTCAAAATAAACAATGTGCAGTGATGTCTATCTTTCCTGTTCTTTGAAGTCATTTGATCATAACTTGATAACGTGTGTGTGTGTGTGTGTGTGTGTGTGTGTGTCTGTGTGTGTGTGTGTGTAGTGTTGCAGCCAACAGCAAACAAAACCTGATGACAGTGGCAAACCTGGGTGTTGTGTTTGGCCCCACGCTCATGAGGCCGCAGGAAGAAACGGTTGCAGCCATTATGGACCTCAAGTTCCAGAACATTGTGGTGGAGATTCTCATAGAACAGCATGAAAAGGTAAGACTTCTCAAAACTAGTGAGGTGCCCAAAATGTTGTCTAGGTTTGCAGATCGCTAGGTTTAAAGACACAACTACACCTCAGAGAGCATCACATTACAGACAGCAGACAGCTAATGAAATATATTTATTTGAACAATGTTTGATTTCGAACTTTTCTATAAGGCATTGCCCATGCAGAGGTTGTTGTACTTCTCTTCACAGCCAGGAGGGGGAACCATGTGTTGTGACTGTACTCTGCTCAGTTAGCTTCTCGTTCTGATGGCTCAAATACAGTTGGACTACCATACTCATTTGACTAAAATACAGGTTAAAACACTGATTTAATCAGCTTTAGATGACAGTAATCTGGTTAATCCTAAAATGGGGTTTATTCTGAGGGACAAAGGGAGAAAGAGTGAGATTATTTCATAATCTCTGAATTATTTAGCCTTCATTTGAAACAGACTGATGAATTGCTTTCATACTATGCCCAATGGTTGTGACCAATGATCATATTTTAGTATTCAAAATAAACACTAGGATCTATTAATCACTTTTGCTGAATAAATGTCCACTGTTTCATATTATCTTTTGTAAACTGATCTTGAAATAAAAACAATTATATCATAATAATAATAATTAAGATTTCATTTGAATAATAAAATGTTGACAGAACAACAGGGGAATTTGTTTGCATTTATCATACACCATTTTTAAGAGACATGCATGCAGCCAAACAAGATGTTGTTAACATTATGATTGTTTTATTACCCATTACAACATTGTAATACTCACTTCAGTATGTGTGCTTGGCGTATGTAAAAGAATAATGCAAAAAATTGTCAATGTTCTTGTGTTCTGAAAAGCACCCTGAAGCAGCATCCAGAATTCCATAGATGGGCAGATTAATGTTTAATATACAGCATTTCTAGACAAAATGATATTGCGTATGACCTTGATTTTTGTTTTGAGGCAAGTTAAAATAGGTGGGCAAAGCGTTGAGATTCTGAAGGAATGACTCTGCAGAGCAGCAGACTGATTAGCTCCTCTCCAGACTGCTGATACCCCCAGATGCACTCAACAGACAGTGTTTTGCATTCAGGTCCATCTGTAGAGAGAGATAGAAAGAGTAGTTGGAAAAGTTGCGAGACAAAGAAGAGACGAGGGGGGAAAGTGTGTAGACAGGGCAAAGAGAGAGAGTAGGGTTAGAGGGTAACAAGAGAGAGACAGATCTGGAAGGAGAAAGACGAGGAAGAAAGTATGAGACCGGGAGAGAGAGGAATGGGCAAAGACTGAGATGGAAAAAGGGAGAGAGAGAGAGAGAGAGAGAGAGAGAGAGAGAGAGAGAGAGAGAGAGAGAGAGAGAGAGAGAGAGAGAGAGAGAGAGAGAGAGAGAGAGAGAGAGAGAGAGAGAGAGAGAGAGAGAGAGAGAGAGAGAGAGAGAGAGAGAGAGAGAGAGAGAGCAGGCTTTGCTGTCGTCTGCAGAATTTCACAACTGTATCAGATTTCTATCCCTTCTACCAGCTCCTTCGTTCCTTTGTTTATCCCTGTCGAGAGTTCCACACTTCTGTTAACCTCCGTCACTCACACTGCCCGTCTGGGGTTCAAATGTAAACACTGCGTGACTGTAATGAAGTCGACGCTATTATGAAAACTTGTTTCCTGTGTTGTCACTGAACGGCTGCCACTCGTTCAAATGCATGTCAGTTTCAGCTTCTCACAATAAACTGGGCAATGTGCCTGGGTTATCTTATTTAGGCTTAACTCTCATGAGAAGGTCTTTTGATGCCTGTTGCTGTTAATGAAGCTTGCAAACACCTCTTATATAGGAAAAGGTCACCTAAAACGTGAAGTTTGTTTATTTACTCGTTTTCATGTATTTTCAAAAACTTTTTGATTGTCCTTTTTCTGTAGAAGTGTTGAAAAATGTCCATGCTACTCTCTTCCAAGTAAATGGTGATAAAGGCCCAGACACACCAAACCAATATCAAAGAACTAGCACCGATGAAAGTCGACTGTGGTGTCGCCTCCTTCTGGACAAAAAAAGTTGTGCCTTAACACAACCCAAAGACTACAACCAACAAGCACTTACGTTTTGCGCCTGAGTGGAAATAACCAGCAGGTGACAGTAGTCTGTATTTATCATTAAACAAAGCAGTGGTTTCGTTGTTTGCTTGCTTTCATCACTTCGGTTTTTATACTCGTGGACTGGTTTAAGCTTAACAGCCAATGAGAACAGGCCCTGCCAGCGATTCAACATGCTTTCCGTGTGTTCTGAAGTCAAATGAACCAAAATTTCGGCAATTGAAAATATTCGGTTGAAGTGAAGAAAATAAAAGAATTTTCAGCAGAAACGGCTTTGAAGGACTGAAATCGTTGACCGAAAATATTGAGTTTAATTACGCTTCTCCAATGACTCGGGTGTTGTGTTTGGGCCCACACTCATGAGGCCGCAGGAGAAATGGTTGCGGCCATTACGGACCTCAAATTCCTGAACATTGTGGTGGAGATTCTCATAGAACAGCATGAAAAGGTGAGACTTCTCACTGGAGATGCGTGGCCAGGGGCGTCACTAGGATTTTCATTTTAGGGGGGCTAAGCCCCCAATATGATTTTTAAACAAATTATAAAAAAAGGTAACACTTTAGTTTAGGATCTAAAGATCACTATTAACCATTTTCATTACGATGCAAAGGCACGGTTTTATAATAACTGTGGTCCCAAATGTGAGGCAGGGCAAATAGGGGGGTTCGGGGTCTCCCCGAGAAAATTTTGATTTCTCTGATCTACATATGTGCATTTTAAGATGTTCTGAAGGCCAAAAAACTTGGATAGTGGGCAGCTGACAATTTTTCTCTCCTCATCAGCAGCATCACTTTTTTTCTCTTTGTTTTTCTCTTGCCCTGTCTCTTCCCCTCCTAAAGCTGAGCTTTGACTGATATAGGCTTTTCATTTTTGTCTGTCAGTGAAGAAAGTAAACATAGGGTCAACTGATAGGTTGATTTTGCCTATGAATCATTTTCTCAGACGCGTTTATTTACTGAAAGCTACTAAAGGTAATTAAGTTTATTAAATGCATTCACAATATGTAGGCTACACATTTATTATTGATCTTATGCCTAATACAGGGCCGTAGACAGGGCTTTATAATCACAGAGGTCCTAAATTTGAGATTGGTAGGGGGGTAAAATTTTTTATTTCTGATATGTGCATTTCAAGACGTTTGAAGACCAAAAAAAAGGATAAGAAATAGCTTTAAAACCATGTCAGTGGGCAGATTATTTGTCAATACCTGCTCTCTTCTCATCTCCATCACTCTTCCTTTTTTTCTCAGTCACTTCCTCCCTTTCTCTTCCCCTCCTAAAGCTGAGCTTTTTTAATTTACTAAAGGCTACAATTTGTATTATATTCTCAATATGTACACATTCATTATTAATCTTGTGCCTAACATGATAAAACTAATTTGTTAATGTTTCTTGTAAACTAATTATTACATTACATGAGTTACATGAGTGTATAGGCCTATTTTCAGTTCAAAATGGCGAAATTAGACAAAACTATATTAGTTTGCCTGATTATTTTTTGTCATTCGTTTAACATTTATGACCTAAAAAAAGTAAAATATGAAATGTTAAGTTTAGCTACTTACATCTTATCTCGCACTTGACCGTACGCGTCGAGTCCATAGACTGTAAAAAATGGTCGTGTCGCACTGTTAAAATTCGCGCTCAGCAGCGTCTGTGAACATAAAGCCCGCCTACTTTGATTTGATTGGTCGTCTCTGACATTGACGAGCAGTGACAGACCAATGAGGCTCAGATGAACACACAAATGAACACACACACCCTGTCCTCTGTTTCTGACGTGCTCTCTGCACGGCGCAGCTGTGGATTGAGAACGTGCTGAATCTGATTATAACAAGACTGAAGCGAACACGAATTTGTGTAGCCTACATTAATCTCACATTTTTAGGGGGGCTTGGCAGAAGTTTAGGGGGGCTGAAGCCCCCCTAAAAAGGGCCTAGTGACGCCCCTGTGCGTGGCCACTTCTCAAAACTAGTGAGCTGCCCAAAATGTTGTCTAGGTTGGCAGCTGGCTAGGTTTAAAGACACAACTACACCTCAGAGAGCATCACATACAGACAGCAAGTGAAATCTCACCGTGACCAAAAATGATGCTAGAGTAGCAATATGTAAAATTGGTTTGACTGTAAAATTGAGAGGCTTGTTGCCCAAAGAACTTTACTACAGCTGGTTTAATTTTCACCTGAGAACACGACATCCTGGACAGCATACATTTCAAATACCCGAATATCCAAATTTAGTTATTGAAGCTTTATTTTCAGTTTTGGTTTTCAAAAAAAAAAAAAAAAAAAATTCTCTTTGGTGCATCATTACTTTTGAGTGAGGAACAGAGTGAAATTAATTCTTTATTCACTGTTATTCTTCCTTGAAAGTCTTGCTTGACAGTCATAGTCACCATTCACTATATAAAAAAAAGCAGCTTGGACATTCTACTATAAATATATCATTTTGTGTTCCACGTGAGGAAGAAAGTCATACAGGTTTTGAAATGCATGAGTGTGGATTGACTATTCCTTTAAGATACAGGTCTCGAGCACATCTAGAATCTTTATTTGTTTCGTTTTTTTCTACCACACATTCGCACTTGCATACATAATCATTTTTATTCCTCTGTAGGCATCGGCTGTAAACAAACGGTTTACTTTGATTTTTACATGCACACAACATATTCAGTCTAGCCAGCAAATCCCAGTAACTTTTTGTTCTTTCAGATATTCGGGGATGCTCCGAGCAGCTCTCCAAGCTTAGCAACTACACCCCTCTCTGCGCCAACCAGACAGTCCAAGAGGCTCAGCCGCCAGAATCGCCCGCTGGCTGTGTACAACCCGCAGGTGCTGGATATTCAAACAGGTACGGGAGACTAATCGGGTTTAAGCACAGTGAGGTTAAGGGAAAAGCACAAGGAATTATAGCTGTCACATACATTTACTATTAAATAGATAATGACATAATATAGGGCCTTTATCAATGGAAAGAGAAAGATAAGCAGAACCACACAGACTCTCACAGATATTGCACCAGAAACACACAAAATATGTGCCTGGAGATATGATATATAATATATAAATTATTAAGATACTTTTTCTTTAATATTAAAGAGACTTTGCAGCAATTCATAGAGGTTAATGTTCATTTGGATAACCCTGGTGGTAAAATAACCTTTTTTTTTTTGCAGTGCTTTTGCAGTTGGTTTATTTCCATGTGGACATTGGCCGTTTGTCTTAGTGAGGGTTCATGACTATGTAAGACTACTGAGCAATCAGATGTGATGCTCTGCTGAAACATGCTGATTACCCATTGTCACTCTGGGCTACAGGATGTAGTTTGCCAGTCCATATTTAGGTGGATAACTGATGCTTTAGGGGCCCTGGACTTCGTAGAAATGTGTCTCCCAGTTCTCTATTTGGATTTGTTATGCCACCCAACAGAATTAATTTCAGACTGGGATCAGTGCAGGATTAGGCTATTACCTTTGTTTATTAGCATGCATACAGTATTATGACCATATTCTACATCCCTTAATCCTATCCAACACCTAAACTTAACTACCTTACTAACTATTAATAAGCAGTAATTAGCAGCTTATTGAGGCAAAAGTGGTAGTTAATAGTGAGAATTGGACCATAAACTAAAGTGTGACCGATGTTTCTTCCACACTACAGCTGTGCAGGTATACTGAAACTAGTATTGGCTCTTTTCACAAAGTAAATTAGCACATTGTCACAAGGCTTTCCAAAATGTGCTTGGTTTCGAAAACGCCACAGTTTTCAGAGTCAGATTAACCACACTTTTCCACACAAGATAGTAAACACTGGTTATTTGTTTAGTAGAGATCCCTGTGTGTTTTGGGATGTTACTTCAGAAAGGGAAGGTGGCCACTGCCAAAACACACTCACACACAAGGTGGAAAAACTATAAATGTGTGTATTAATCCTGGATTCATGAAAAGGCCAAACCATCATTATTAATCTCTACATAAGCATTTCCTCTACGCGTTTTAGTTTGTGTGGGATAGGGCTGTGCTATGGAGTCAATATAATGCCACATAGTTTTGCAAAAGAAAATAAAGTTTTGAGCAAAAAAAAAAGTTTTGATCACCAAAATAAAGAATTGCAAAGGGGGAAAAAAGTATTGAGAGAAAAAAAATAAGTTTTGCAAATAAAAATAAAGATTTGCAAATATTAAGTGCAAAAATCATCAATGACAGATGTAATCCTATTTTATCTCTGCAACATATTTTCCATACTCATACCTACTAAGTCATTTGCAACGCTCCTTTTATTCTGCATTTCAGTCAAGTGTGTGCTTACAATACCATTTTTCCTTTGCGCTTCACTTTTCTCTGCGTTTCTCTTCATTTGACGTAGAGGTGGGGTCAAGAAACCGCAAAGTCGCGTCATCGGCAGGAGTCTATTTTATTTTGCAATTCTTTATTTTTTTTTTTTGGCTAAACTTTATTTTTTTTTGCTCAATACTTTATTTTTGTTTTGCAAAAAAAATATATATATTTTGCAATACTGTATTCTTTTGCAAAACTATATGGCATTATATTGACTCCATACTGTGCCGGTAAACTTGACAACAGCATCAGTGGCTGAGTAGCACCGGCGGTGGTCCACCAAAGCACATTTTTTGTACATGAATGCTGTTTTACGTGAATATTATGACACGAGTGAAGCACAAAGCTTTGTTTACAAAATAAATAATAGGTTAGCAATTAAATGTTACATTGCAGCCATGCAAACATTTGGATTTGTGCCGAATGAGAGAGGTACGTCATGTGCGCCCATAAATTTAAGCTTTGTCGGCTTTGTATTATGTTTTGCGTTCTGGTCACCCGATTATCAGCGAATTTAACAACATTCGACATGGAATATCTTGTTTCTTTTCCCAAATCTTCACTCACGTCTTGCCCATTTTCGCAGGGGATTATAAACGTTTCTTCGCTTTTAATTTGTTCTGCAGTATTTTTTTTTACTTTACCACAGTAAAAATGCTAATATAATAGACCTGAAACCTTTCTGCTTGCACATTGTAAGGCACGTCAAGTGTATTTGTATAGCGCATTTCACACACGCTTGGGATTTTAGTTTTGCTTTCTCTGGCAGCACAAAATCAAACATAGCCCCAAATGTCTTGACACTGCAGAAGATACAATTCGCTCTTCAGACCTTTTTCAACAAGTTTCAGTTGCTTGGAACATCAGGAGAAAACATGAAGATATTAGAAAAGAGAATGACTGTCTCTTTCCTGCTTGTGTCCCATATCCCTCTCAAAGCAAAGAGCGGTAGGCTATATGACACATCTTTGTCGGGAAATATAAAACGAATGTTTTTTTAAATAATATGTAACTTTCTTATATTATTTAGGTTACCAATATTTACTGATATTTATTTTGTTTTACAATGTAATGTTTTACAGGCTGTAGTGTGGTGTTTCACTGACAGAAGTGCTAAAATAAACACGTGCGTCTGTGACAAAATGGAGGTTTAAGCTGCCACCCTTTTACCACTGTGGCGGTAAAAAACTGCCACCGTAACAGCCCTACTGTGGGATATGTAAAGCATAGGGTTAAAAGTGTGGCCTTCTGTGATCGCATGACCAGCTAAATACTATACTTAATATTATATATTATACTTATATTATTATATATACAATTTATATCGGATATATTTTTTTAAAAGAGAATAATACTTTTATTCAGCAAGGATGCATTAAAATGATCAAAAATCATAGTAAAGGCTTTTACATTGTTACAAAAATTTATATTTCTAATATGAGTTTTTTTACATCAAACATTTTTTAATTTTTTTCAGATTTTACAAAAATATTAAGCAACACAACTGTTTTCAACATTAATAATACTAAAAAAGTGATTCTTAAGCAGCAAATCACTATATTAGAATGATTTCTGAAGGATCATGTAACACTGAAGACTTTTCCACAACAGGAATAAATTACAATTTTAAAATATATTAAAATTAGAAAATAGTTATTTTAAATTGTATTCGTATTTCACAATATTACTGTTTTTACTGTATTTTTGCTCAAATAAATGCAAACTTAAAGAAAGCATCTGTGTCTGTCTTTAGGTTGTGATGCTGCATTCTTGCTGATACTGTAAGTGTCCACAACCCCTGTCTATTGTCAGTGAAATAAGCTGAAAATTGTACACTTTTAAAATGGTCGCACGGGGATGTGTCTGGCTTTCTGAACGATGACATTGGTCTTTACCAAGATCCCTGATTTTGAAAAAAAAAAAAAAAACTCTTGAGTTTATCAGTGTGTGTGTGTGGCACATTTCAGTTTAGATTCTGGGGTGCCACAATGTAATGTGGCTTTGAAAAGTGACTGTTTTTGAAGGATGGAGCAGTGCAAACTATATTAGACTCAACGGCAAAACCTGCAAACCATGAGAAAGGGTTGTTACTCATTTCACATGTGAAGGGGGCATTTATGTAGAAAACTACACGAAGGTCATTGCTTTTTATGCAAAAACAAAACAAAAAACATTACAAATGTACCTCATTTAAAAATTAAAAAAACTAGGATATTAGACAGAACAGGGACTTCTATGACTCTCTCTTTTTTTTAATGAATTTGGGGACTTTTGTGTAATTTCTTTTGTTATTAGAACACAATCGTTATCAGTTCCTATTACCTCTAACACTCAACAAACGTTTTTGCTTAAATTCATATGGCAACAGTCCCATTGTTTGGATATAAGAGTGTTAAAACCAATAATGACCTGTCAGGTTCAAAAATAAAACACGTCAATTAATGTCTGCAATGGCATAAAGATTGAGAAAGGCTGAGAAAAGAATCAGAATATCACCTCAAAATGTATTTTTAAAGAAACTGCTTTTTTTTTTTTTTTTTTTTTTTTTTGCTTTAAGCATATTTTACTAGTTAGATAATGATGTAATGTATTTCTTAGAATGTTCCCCCAACATTTCAATTAATCTACTACTAATCAAATTTTGATAGACACCAAAATATTAGAACTGGAATGGCACAGACATTGTGTTGGTTTATTTTTATTTATATTTTATTTTTTAAAGAAACTTGAGTCTTCAGTTTTCAGAGAGAGACTTACCAAACTCATTTTCATGGATTTAGTATTCAGATAAGGTATTCATTAACAGTCTCTCTCTCTCTCTCTCTCTCTCTCTCTCTCTCTCTCTCTCTCTCTCTCTCTCTCTCTCTCTCTCTCTCTCTCTCTCTCTCTCTCTCTCTCTCTCTCTCTCTCTCTCTCTCTCTCTCTCTCTCTCTCTCTCTCTCTCTCTATCTCTCTCTCTTAATATATGTCTTTGTCATTCTCATTTTTCTTTTTGTCTTTTATTGTCTATCGTTTCATTATTTTCTTCTTTGCCATTCTCTCCCTTGCTCTGACAGTCTCTCCTTCCTTTGAGAGTCCAGCCCTGGGTAATGATGAGACATCAGTGGTCAGTGATGAGTCGGTCTCCTCCCAGTCCTCGAACGCCTCTGGAACGCCCCCCGAGAAATCCAAGAATCATCATGCCACCATTAGCACATCCATGCTAGAGAGCACCGGGTATGTAGCAAAGATTCGTCTTTCCAAAAGCTTTGTCATAATAAGCATTGCTTATGTGTTGAATGTATAAAAAGGTATATAATGTGATTTAAGAGTCATGAGTTAACATTATAAAATAAAGTATTAAGAATTAAAACTTTAACTTAAAATTAAATCTTACGTTCAGAATAACCTCTCTTTTCCTCTAATAATTTTATATTAGAAACAAATGTCAAATTCTACCTCTGTGCTGCTTTTGCAGTGTAAAGTCAGAACAACAGATTGTACTTTTAAAGTTACAAATGTTCAAATAAAGTTTCACTAACTATAAGTATCTTTGCAACTACGCCAACAGTCATTAGAGTATTAGTAGACTGTCTGCTTAATATCTGCTAACACTTTATTGTGACGGTCCTCCAACAGACACTCTACTGACTATCAGTAACTTTGCAAGTACTTGTCGACTTATTCTACTTACTTTAACCCTGATCTAAGTCTACCAATACTCCCAGTAGTTGCAAATTAACGAGTTAGTTGCTATTAAGTTACAAGTGAGTTACTATTAGTTAGTAGAATGTCTAAAGTGGACTATCAAAACAACGTGTAACCTAAAGTAAACCTTATATAATCATGTTATTGTAATCTCAGTGCATGTTAGTGCTAAGCTGTTTAACAGTCTACTGCAAGTCAGAAGCAGGGCTATTATTGTTACCTAAAATAAAAGTTTGTTTTGCTACATTGTTACTACTAAAACATTTTTGTTAATTGAAATAAAGTTAAAATATATTCGATGAAAAACTTAAAATAAACCAATTAGAAATGTTGCCTTAGCAACTAACTGAAATAAGTTAAAACTGCTAACTGACTAGCTGAACGTAAACCAAAACTGAAATAAAAATAATTGAAACCTGTAATGTCAGAAAAAATAAAATAAAACTAATAAAAATGACAAAAGCTAATTACTAAAAATTTAGCTAAAATTAAAATGAAAACTATTAAACTATAAATATACCGTATTTTCCGCACTATACGGCGCACCGGATTATAAGGCGCACCTTCAATGAATGACCTATTTTAGAACATTTTTCATATATAGGGCGCACCGGATTATAAGGCGCATAAGATACTGCAGTCAAACGTTTGACTGGGTTTGCGTTATGCATCCACTAGATGTCAACAAATGTCAACAAAACAGTCAGATAAAGTCAAACCTTATTAAGCGTTCTGACAACTCCGTTCACTCCCATGGTAACGTTGTTCAAACGTCAAAGGAAAACTCCGGTCAATTTTAACATTGAGCTCATTTTTTGTAAATTTGGAGTGCTGTTAGTACAGATAACAACGACAAAAACCGGTGTTGCCTACACGTGTTATCCTCTTTTTAAAATTTGCACCCTGTTGACTTAAACGGGACAAGTTTTAAACCTGCTTTTAGCCTCTATAACAACCTTAATGTGTCATTACAAGTGCACAGCCATGTGAGTGAACACGGTGAATCTGACTGCACATACCCGTATTTTCTTCCTGTTTTCGGTCGAAGTCCACAGTAGGCGATTGTCGAGTGCGCGCGCGCGATCATTGGTAACTAAGCAACAGTGGAGACTCAGACTGTCAGCTGTCAGCCGATGACGGTGCTGTGTGATGTTCTGAGAATATCAGCTCAAATGGATAGTTCATCCAAATCAGATGTTGAACCACTGATCTATATAGAATGACTGGATAGCTCATGACGTCATAAACAGTGAAGCCACCGCGCCGCCATATTGTGATTCCCTAGTGAGCTCACGCGTTCTATTGAATCAATAGGAAATTGTATGATTTGACTGAGAAAACATTGCATAACGAGACACCGTCTTTAAATCTAAAGTCTCCCTGAACAGTCTTACCACGCAAACATCCTAAGCATTTAAATGGGTATTTGTTTAAAGTCGGAAATTATTCCTGCTTACTAAAAATGAAGTATATGTGAATTGTGAACTTAAAATGTAGCTCTTTCTGATTGTGTTTTACAGATAGATCAGTAGTCTGTTCAAGTATTTGATTAGTTAGCAAGAACATGTCCAGGAAATGCATAATACAAATTGTATGGGTTAATGTACACCTGTTTCACCTCTTATTTACCCCTTATTTACACTGCACACGTCTGCGGCGCGTTTACAGCTGCGACACGGCTACCGGAGCTGATCGCGCCCACAAATCGGCAAATCACGTGGAAATGCTCCCGGTGTGAGTTGACACCGCGTGAAGGTAGGAATAAAACATTGTCGGAGCCATAATGCGCCGCAGATGTGTGCAGTGTAAATAAGGGGTTTACACATAGGCCTACTCCGTTTGCAGTGCATATTTTTTACCATACCCATGTCAACAGGTTGGAGCTTTCACTGCACGCGGATGCCCGTCCTGTGCGGTGCGTGCAGAGATCGTTTGTGCTGCAGGCGCTGAATTAAAGTGACAGCGCATGGTTCGTGGTCAAACTGAACACGGATTGACATGAAAATATTAAATATATGCATTTAATTAAATTTATAAGAAGTAATGCATTGAATAATACGTTTATTGGGTCTAAACTTGAATACGTCTGTGAAAGAATGCATAGTAGTCTATACATTTTTTTTAAACAACACGGAAATAGCGACAATTGTGCATATACATTACTATATATGGGCTTAAAGTACAACCTGTGAGCAGTTTTTCAAGATTCTTCTGTAAAACTTCGTTTTACACTTGTTGATGCGCAGCGGGTCATCTTAAAAGTGCCGTCGGAGCTTCCTATCCAGACTGATCTCATGAAATGGCGTATGTATGACACGCCAATTCGTATTTCCATTTTTGGCGTGCTATCAACACGCATAATCGCTTTTCAGCGTGTTTATCAACGCCTTTGACTTAACGTTATATTACTGTATTATGTATAGATATATGACCTACCCCAACCCCGTCCCTAAACCTACCCGTCACTGGGGTTAATACCATTTATGAGTGTTCTCCTACCATCCTAGGAAAAGAAATATCGCTCCACAGATGTAGATATAGATTTTGCTTCGTTTCGCTCTGACATTTAACGGCGTACACATACACGCGGAATCACTCGGACGTTTAATGGCGAAGACATACACGCAATTCACGAGTTCACACTTACATCAATTAAACAGAGTAAAGATTATGCGTATTTGGCGTGCTGTCCGGGGGGAGGGCTCCGAGCTCGGAATTTTGCCCGAACCCAGAGTACTCCCCCCGTTGTTGTAAGAGTATTAGGACTATAAGTGAGGAGATGGGGTGGTGGAGGGATGCTGTTAAACTGTCAATGAACGGAGGTAAGTTTGCTGTATATATACACAGCGCTTAACTCGTTGATTAAGCACCACTCGTGTCTAATTAGGTTTGATTATCTGAATGTGCTCCACGTGTGTTTAATTAGGTTTAATTATCTGAACGTGCTCCTCCCGAACTTTGTTAATAAAACATCATTTCACGAGTTCACACTTACATCAATTAAACAGAGTAAAGATTATGCGTATTTGGCGTGCTGTCCGGGGGGAGGGCTCCGAGCTCGGAATTTTGCCCGAACCCAGAGTACTCCCCCAAAAGGCAAAAAGAGCAAAGGACAGCCGCCAGACTAAAGACCCCCCAAAACGCAGAGAATTTGGCGGGCTGGCGTTTTGAGAATAAGCCTGGTTGCTTGACCAGGAGGGCCTGCTGGCTCACGAACGGGGAGCAGTCGTAATTTGGAACAACAGTTGGGAGGGCTCGCACCGTTTCTCGACGGGAGCAGCTCACAGCGTCAGACAGGCGAGCTCTACCGGCCGATGAACAGCGTGATTTATGCCGCCTGACCAGGAGGGCCCGTGTTGCCTCTGGCGGGAGCAGCTCACTGCGCTGGGCGGACGGGCGCTACTGGTTGACAAGATTTGGGAATGCCCAACCAGGAGGGCCCATGTAGCTTCCGACGGGAGCAGCTCACAGCGTCGGGCTGATGGGCCCTACCGGCTGACGGTGGAGTGGCGCGTTTTTTTGGAAGCCCGGACTGGAGATTTCTTGCTGTCCGCTGGGAAATCGATACCTGTTGGATGGGAAAGAGAAAACATAGATGCATGCAAAGTCCGCTGGGAGACCAATGCTCGCTGGACAGAAAAAGAGAAAACATAGATGCATGCAAAGTCCGCTGGGAGACCAATGCTCGCTGGACAGAAAAAGAGAAAACAGATGCATGCAAAGTCCGCTGGGAGACCAATGCTCGCTGGACAGAAAAAAAGGGGAAACATAGATGCTTGCAATGTCCGCTGGGAGACCAATGCTCGCTGGACAGAATTATGCAATGTCCGCTGGGAGACCAATGCTCGCTGGACAGAATTATGCAATGTCCGCTGGGAGACCAATGCTCGCTGGACAGAAAAGAGGAAACATAGATGCTTGCAATGTCCGCTGGGAGACCAATGCTCGCTGGACAGAAAAAGGAGAAAACATAGATGCTTGCAATGTCCGCTGGGAGACCAATGCTCGCTGGACAGAGGAAGAGGAAACATAGATGCATACGACGTCCGCTGGGAGACCAATGCTCGCTGGACAGAGAAAGAGAAACATAGATGCATGCAACGTCCGCTGGGAGACCAATGCTCGCTGGACAGAGAAAGAGGAAACATAGATGCATGCAACGTCCGCTGGGAGACCAATGCTCGCTGGACAGAGAAAGAGGAAACATAGATGCATGCAACGTCCGCTGGGAGACCAATGCTCGCTGGACAGAGAAAGAGGCATCACGTAGGGGTTTTAACAGGAATATTAATTCTGAATAGTGAGGTACTGGAGAGGAGACATCACTGCTGCGGCAGTGGAAAAATAGCCAGAGAAACAGAGCTCCTGCGGGAGCAGAGGAGACATCACTGCTGCAGCAGTGGAGAAAATAGCCAGAGAAACAGAGCTCCTGCGGGAGCAGAGGAGACGTCACTACTGTGGCAGTGGAGAAACTTACCTGGAGAAAAAAAGAGCTCCTGCGGGAGCAGAGGAGACATCACTGCTGCGGC